AAAAAAAAAAAAGAAAGAAAGAAACCTGCCACAACTCTCATTCTGTTCACGTATCACTCTTCATTACTTCCAGCTGTGGCTCGTAAGACACACTATGACCTTCACCTTCTTTCCAGTCTTAATACTCACCAGCTCTAAAACACGTCTGGACTCCAGTATCCCTAACCACAATATCCACTGGACTGGAACATCTCCCCTGACAGCTCCCACTGATCATTCAAGACCTATTTCAAATGCCATTTCCTTTAGGAGGCCTCTCCATGCCCTTCTTTCAACTCCTGTCTCTACCCACCATGATATTTCCTGGTAGGAGGGGTTTCTCCATAGCACTGAGTAACTGTGGAGAGTCCATTTATATTTACATCTCTAACAGTATTTCTTTGATCCCACTTCTTCAACTGTAATTATCTGAGGACAAAAACTGTCTTACACATCTCTGAATGGGTCCCCATGGTTCCTTTCAGAGAACAGCTATTCAATTACTATTCTGGAATAACAACAAATTAAAGCCAACCATTACTTTGGTACCATCAAAGAAATTAAAAGCCTCAAAAGTCTAACCAAAAAAGTACAGTGAGATAAAACTATTTCCTCATTGAGAAAAGACCTTAAAAACCCAAGTGATAACAGAAGAGAGTTCTCAGTGATCGAATCCTTCCAACTCAATCCAAGTGTAAAGACAGAAAACACGTACTCACTTGTGGAATCTGCGTGCTTTTTCCACATCCTGTTTCTCCAACAATCACCACTGTCTGATAGTTTTCTACCAAGTAAAGTATATGATTCCTAAGCTGAAAAAGAAAGAAAATTAAATAACCACACATTGTCTCAAAAGACCTAAACACAGATATTTAAACACTGTGAAATGAGCTGCTGGCCAACGGAAAGCAAACTTTGAAAAGGACTCCAAAAGTGTGTTTCCATTCGTGGGTACTCTTGGTAGCAGTGTGAGCTGATGGAAGCTGAGTGTGATATCTATGCAAATATGTAACGCACACACTCTTCGATTCAAGATTCTCACCTGTCGGAAGTTATGCTACAAACGCTAGAACATGTACATAAACTGTGTACACAGGCACATTCACTGTGGCACTATTTATCATGGCAAAAGAGTGCAACAGCCTACATCTCTATCAACAGGGGAATGGTTAAATCAATGAAACATAACATCAGTTTGTCTGGCCTTTTTTCCACAGAGCTGCTGGGAAGGTTCATACCACCAACCTTTAGGTTCATGGCCGATCACAATCCACTTCTGACACCCAGGGACCCTCTTATCATTTTAATTTCATTAATGTGTTTTAAATTCTTTTGTTTTTTTCATTTGTTGTCATTTCATCTATTTCATCTTATAAACTCAGCTGGGGGATGAAGAACAGTCAAGAAAAGGCCAAACTTTAAATTCGAATTATCTCTGAACTTGAGAGTTGACTACATGTCAGACATTTTGCTAAAAGCTCTATGGATCGTCTCATTGGTCCTCATAAGAATCCTATGAGGCAGCTACTACTACCATCTGCCCTTATTCTATAGATAAGACAGCACGGCAAAGCAAGATCGCACAGCACACAAGTGGTGAAGCTTGGCTGTGAACCCTCAAGTCTAGCTCCAGAGTCCAGATGCTTCACTGAGGCTCAAACTGCATCCTTCAGTGGTGAGGAAACAACAGTGAACCTATAATCTTATTTTCTGAAGACCAAACCAGGAACACTCACACATAATGGAGGAGATTAGTCATTTGAGGAAGCCCAGAGACTGTCAGAACATGAGTGGCTAAATGTTTGGGGCAAGGTGAGTTGGTTAAATTAAGAAGGCTGCTGTTTCATATCTGTTTGGAAAAAGAACATACTAATAGCAGAGGGATTATCAACATAGTCTAGGCAAAGGGACTCCCTAAGTGGAAGAAGTCGACAGCTTTCAAACCCACCATCATCCAAGAAAGGGATGCAGGTGCTTGTGGCCACACATACCGGGCTCACTCTAGAGGCAACCAGTATGGCAGGAGAGGTCATCGCCCTTTATCAGGGGCTGTACAAAATAAGTATCTTTCAGGAATCTATAAACCATCTTTGGCTCTGAGCACATTTCTTGATTACAATTGGCTTCCCAGGTGAACTTGCAATAGGGAGAAATGTGTCAATCAATGAGCACAGCAAGTGTGTGCTGGAGAACTCCCACTCACTGTAAAGGGATATATTCTGAATTCTAGTTGACACTTCAGCCTCCTGTTGTGCATCCATGACCCAAGGACTCAGAAATTGAGTGCCTGCAAGTGTGTGTGGTACGCAGTAACTCCACCAAAATCCTGTCACTGCCTGAGCGGGAGTCAGGGGGACTACTAACCCAGCTCTTCAACTGCAACAGCCTCCTATTCCTAATTATTCTTTAAAGAACTATGCCTTTAAAAAGAAAGATAACATGTTAGTAATTCATTGTAGATACAGAGAAGTTCACTGTGCTATTTCTCTACTTTTCTGAATATATGAAATTGTCCATAACGGAAAGCAATGGGGTGGGGGGGAAAGAAGGTCATTTCCATCTTTTCCCATTTTTTCAGTGAGATCTAACTGGTCAAGAATAAGTAGACCTCTGAGTTCACTGTGTTCTAACGAATCAAGAAGAGTCAGAGAGCATTCACCCTTGGATGCCAAGTACAAAGCAGATGCGGCCATGATGCCGGCCCACGGACTGAACGTGCTTAGTCAACATACCTTGAACACTGGCAGTTTCTGCCTCTGCTGCTCTATAGAAAGGGCAGCATAAGGATTGTAAACAATGGAGGCCACAGAGTTTTCCGCTTGACTTTGTCTCTCTTCAGAGATGCTGACACCTGGCCCCTCTGTACCTGCAGCAGAAGTGGTATTTCAGATTCTCTGACACAGTGAACAGAAAAATGTGTGAAAGTCACAAATTTTCAAATACACATGAAAGCAATG